TCTTTTTGTGCCAATTGTGCTGAACACCATAAAAATCAGGCATATTACTGGGAACATGCCAATTCCCACCACGAGGAGCTGTTTCTAGAGCACAGTAGTAATCGATTTGCGCTTCGATTTGTTCTCCAGTTAAATATGGAGGAGGAGTGTCTCTGACAACCCTTTTGTGCCTGAACAATTTCTTGTTTCTTCGGTATGGAAGAAATCGACGGTGACAATCGAACCAACTAGTCTTCTTACCATGCTTCAACTGAAACACATCTATCATTCCATTACAATATGGACAAGCTAATCTTCCATGTGTAGTCCACCCAGACAACATACCATATGCAGGAAAGTCACTTATGGTCCAGAAAAGCATCGCTCGCATCGTAAAGTTTGTTTTCGTTGAACAATCATATGTCCTCACCCCTGTTGACCACAAATCTTTCAACTCTTTTATCAATTGTTTGGAGAAAAACGTCGAGAGATCTTTTTGGATGTTTTGGACCAGGTATTAATATGCTCATGAATAGAAACTCTCGTCACATGCACATCTCCGGTGGCAGGTTATACGGTGTAAGAAAGACCGGCCACAATGAATATTGTCTCCCAGACATTCCAAATGGACTAAATCCATCAGTGCATAATCCAAGATACACATTCCGGCTATTGCTAGCGAAATGTGGATGTACATTGTTAAAATGTTTCCAGGCTATTGCATCTGATGGATGAGTCATCTCTCCATCCGTCTGAGTATGCTCGGCGTGCCATCTCATCCCTCCAGCAGTCTCCTCAGATTGGTACAATCTTTTCAATCTGTCTGTGATTGGTAGGTACCACATCCTTTGGTACGGTACCCTATTGCGCCCTCGACCTTGCGGTTTGAATCGTGGCTTCTTACAAAATCGACATTCNCATTACGCAAATGATCAACCGGTTCAACCTGATTACTACTGCTACCTTCATTCCTACAACTAGCATCTTCTCCATGTTGATACCAAATATAATAATATGGCATGAAACCTCTATTTATTAAATGCTTCCAAACATTTTCACGAGGGCCTAATTTGCTATTGCAGCATTTCCGACAAGGACAGAACATCTTACCACTTTCATGTGTGAGTGGTGTAGAATCTGCTTGATGCATAAACGTCTCCAACCCTTCCAGAAATTCTTTCGTCACCCTCCCGTTATTATCTCTGTGTGAATACATCCACTGCCGCAACTCGAAAATATTTTCCGGACCGGACATTTTTTTGTGTTTGATCAAGCTTATAGCTGATTTTTTTTTGTGTGTTTCAAATGAATCACATAAGGTGGTATTTATAGAAATTTTTGAATCTGAGCATTTACTAGGAAATTGCTAGGAAAAGTAGGTACAAATCACGTTTTTTATTTAAATTCGATATTTCCTATCCAGTTCCTCCTAATTTCGTAGTAATAAACCGTTTCCTCCTAATTTCGTAGTAAACTTTTACTATAAGTTTACGAGGAAAGTCTTTACTACGGCTTTATGAGGAAAATTACTTTTTCCTCGTAAGTTCCTCGTAAAATTACTAAGGTCTTACGAGGAAAACGTTTTCTCGTAATTTTACGAGGATCTTACGAGGAAATTTGCTTTCCTCGTAAACTCGAAGTAAGGCCTTAGTAATTTTTAGGAGGAAGATTTTTCCTAGTAAATTTCCTAGTAAAGGCTTAGTTTTTTTGTAGTGAATGATTCTTCTCGCATTTGATATGGAAACTTGCTTAACCAGGATGTTAAATTAATTAAAAAAAATTGTTTAACAAATAACATGAAGTTCATTAGTGATCATGGACTTTTCATTGTCTTCAATTTTTCAGTGAATTCAGTAAATATGAATGATTTTAGGGTCAACAAGAAATTGTTTTATGCAGTCGGATGAAAAATACAACACTTGAAAACACTTTTTACTCGAAAATTGCATATGGTCTGTCATTGTATCTCTCACATGCAAATAAGACAGTAAATCGAATCAATTTCAAAAATAGAAAGTATATATGCATAGCCATAATAATATCTGAGACAATTAAGATGGTCTTCTCTTACAAATTCTACATTAACTAGATCTTTTGGCCGCGCTACGCGCGGCTAATCTATTAAACAAAATTTTCAATCATGTTGTTTATATATATATATATTTTGTAACATCATGTTCTTTATATATATAATATATTGTATAATTAAACTTATAATTAAAAACATAAGAAATAGAATGCTAAATTAAATAGAAAAGATAACGATTGACAAAATCATTGTAGTTAATGCAAGTTTCTTATAAATAATATTAATAATGAACAATTTCTTTTAAAAAGTTTATATTTTTCTAGTTTTTTTAACTGAATCCTCATTTTATTTTTAGTACAAATAACTTACATAATAATTAATGTAATATTTTAATATGTAGTTTTAATTATTTTCTATCGTCAATATGTTGGTAGAAAATAATCACTATCAAAATCTGAAAACTAAGTATATAAAGTGAATTGACTTTTGTAAAATTTAAAATTATATTATAGAAATTTAAGATGGTCAACATTTTGTTGTTATGAATAATGTTTATTTATTATATTTATTTATAAAATGGATGATATTAATTTATCTTTGCCATCAATATTTTCAATACCAAACCAAACATTAACTTGACATTGCAATCAGGTCAATGGTAACACCAGTCCAACTGAGTTGTAAATTTTATTTTATTTTAAGTTAAATATCTATATATATATATATGTATAAGTATAAAATTATTTTATAAGACTTTTTATCCTTGTTTAAAGCTACAATGATATGGAAATAAAATATTTTCTCTAGCAAAAAATATCACAACTTGGAAAATTCAATATTTTTAATGAAAATATTAATTATATATTTTTGAAGAAATTAAAAATTTACATCCCAATAGTTTGGATTCTCCTTTTATTATTTACGAAATATAGAAAATATAAATTATGTATATACTTAGATAGAAAGACAGATTAAAATTTAACAAATTTTCAATTATTATAATTAAGGAAAATATTACATAATTCTAAATAAAAAGTATGGAGCTCGAAAACAAAAAGAAGAAAACCTATTATAATTTATTTTCGTCTGCTTTAGCTGAATGATTTTAGGTTTGTGTAACACTATTTTTAAATAACACATATCTCTTACTATCTTGATCCAAAAATTAGGAAGTAATAAAATCGAGAAATAACGTAGAAAAGAATTGAAATATTAGAATAAAACTGTAGAATTAAAAAATTCAAAATATAATATACAACTGAATAAAAATCATAACAAAACCATTTAAATAATAATTAAAATTAAAAACTGAATAAATTAAAATATATCATTTTCGTATAGCAGGGTGATAATCTCTATCGGTGAAAGACACAAGAGCAGGCCGTTTAGAGTCCGGATCGATGTGGAACATCTTGGCAACATCAGGGTTCACTGTTTGATAAAAGTTCACATCGTCATCAGCTTTGGAAGCAGCAGCGAGTTGATCATGCTCAGCACCCACCAAAGAGTTCATGTAACCCAAGACGACTTTGTTCCCAGAAGTCAACACTTTCTCAGCATCATCCAACGTGATTAGATTATACCCACCAGGACCTATCTTCTTCTTCAACTATGTCACTATCGTCTCTCTGCATCACAAAATTAGTAACCTTTAACCACATCAATACATATAAAACTCTAAAGATTCGAACTTTCAATAGAAAAAAAACACTAAAGATCTGAACTTTCAAATACAAATCACACTAAAGATTTGAACTTCAATAGAAATCACAAATAAGATTCGAACTTTCAATAGAAATCACACTAAACAAAGCTCTCTTGAACTGGCCATGGAGATGTGCTATACGCAGAAGAATGATTTGTTTCTTGGTAATTGAAGCTGAAGCTCACTGTCTGCTTCTTTTTGAGACCAGGAAACATCCCACTGAACAGATCCGCTAAAAACAACCAAGCTCAACAGTGACTCTTAAATCAGGAAATATAAAAGAAAAAAACTGATCTTAACTCATAATAGATGTAGACCAAATACAAAATTTACAAAAGCTTTGTGTTTCTTTTATTGTTATAAATAGCAGTGGGTCTTGAGGAACGTTGAAAATTATAATAACAATAACGTTATGAGACATCACTCACATCAAACTATACTATAAGATATTCACAGGAGAAGCATCTGGTCGGAGTCACTCTGTTGGAACAGCATTAGGTTGAGTTTGGCAATGTGAACGATCATCTAACAGTATGTAACTTCGATCTAACCAGAAGGACACGCTCTGAAAGATCTAAAACCAAAAGTACGAGCTCCGAAAGATCCTCTAAACAGTATGAAGATGATTAGCTCTAAGATCAATAAAATTGCAGGCTCAGCAGGTGGAACGGTACCAGGAAGCTTTCTTCTTGCTGCTCTTGCTCATCTCTGGTTTGAATCACAGGTGGTCTGGCTGATTTCAAAGGCTTTTGATCAGGAAAGGCTTTGTATATATCTTGTTCCTATGTAAAACACAACAGCCAGAAACGTTGGTTATAGCAAACATATAGTAGCAGAAGCAGAAGATGGTGATGTATAAGACGTTAGGATGCGATTGGGACACTACATTTTAAAATTAAAGCATTGAGGTCACTCAGAGACAACAAACTTTCAAATTTGGAATATAGATCTTACCAATAGGAAAGCCACTTTCATACTGATAAGCACAGTCATCGAAATGGAGTTGGATCTTTCTAATAGCTTGGTTTCCACGGCCAACAACCAGCAAAGAACAGCTGCTTCCAACATAAACAACATCGAAATCATTTGAAAACTTTGCATCTTCACTCGGACCATCCACATGACCTCCTCACCCACGAACCATTTTCCCCCCCAGCAATGATTGTGACTCCTGCCATCACAATAAAATCTGAGATAAACCAAGCAAACACTTATCCCAAGGGTAACCACAAAACATCAGGGAACAAATACATGCTTCACTGATCTTCCTGATAGCATTATTCACAGTATCTGCAACATAGATACTCTCTTTATCATCCACAGTAAGCCCTTTTGGATTGTTCAACCTCGCGTCTCGTAATCTACCGTCCACATGACCAGGATATCCTTCAGGTGAGCCAGTAAGAAGCCTTGTTCTGCTATCTGCCACTATGCAAATGTTAATGCTGCAGTTAAAAGCATTGACTTGTACTCTTGACCATCTAATAACACTTTCTTTAAGTCCCCATTAAATCATAAACAAAGAAGCGACAAAGAACCAGCAAAATCTCCTGATTTTCAACGTATTGCCATATAGAGCAATAAGTATAAGTCCATGTGCAACAGTGTTAAGCCAACAGATGAAGAAGCCATGCTGAGCCACACCCAAAGGTCTTAAGCTAGCATCGGAGATTTGAACAGGTCTTATCATCGACCTTAATCTGAAATGTTATTTCACGTGCGACGCATGTTGGTTAGAAGCTCGACCAAAACACACAAAACATAGAGAGAGAATTAGCAAGTGTCAGATCATATTCTTGTAGTTTTTAATTGATAGGTATTTTATGTTGTTGTGTTTGCATTTTTATGACCAAAACACACACAACATAGAGAGAGGATACCAAGTACGAAAGCTACCTTATCCCTTCTCTCTCTCTAGGCTCTCAAAGGAGATTTCAGATCTCCCTCTGGTCCGGCGTCGCGTGTGTGCATGAGCGCCGCGTGAGTGCCCGGCTCCGGCGGGTCCTTCTCTCCTCTCTTCCTCGGTTTATATTTGCCTCTCGTCTAGTCCATGAAGGTCTCTCCGCCTTGTTGAGCTTCTGAGTTTGCGATTTTGAGTTCGCTGGTCTTCCTCTGCGAAAAAAAGAAAGGTTTGTGCTCTCTTTGGAAGCTCAGCGCGTAGTAGCAGCGGTGGCTGGCAAGTGGTCGTCGTATAGGGTTGGAATTGGATCGTTTTCCCTTTCAGATCCGCTCCATTGCTGTTGTCGTTTGATGATGCTGTCTGGTTCGACTCTGCTTCTGCTTGCGGTGGTTTCTGCTAGGGTGAGGTTTGTAAGATCGTGCGTAGAGTCATATCGAGTAACATAAATGATACGGCGGAAGAGGAAGCGCAACGAAGGATCGGAAGAAGACGATGGCTGACCTGGGCCAAATTCGAAGTCCAGAAAAACATAAACCAAAAATAGTAAAGCAGATGACGTGTATGTTTAAAGCAATCCGATTGGTTGATTAAAAAAGCACACGTGGACAGCCTAATATGCTCTCATATCGGGCTTTTAATAATAGTAGATTTGGGATCAGTTCCCTACCATAACGAAAATATAACAGCTCATGTGTCCGAATATTTTTTTATCTCCTAGGAATATGCTAAAGCCTAAAACGAGTTTTTGACCGTGAGTCCCAAAAACTCAACCAGACAGTAAAAACAAATTCGAAAACAAACTTTTTTATTTTAACTGAAAAACAAAACGGTGGGATGATAGAGAAGTAGATGCGAAAAACAAGAAGTCAAAGAGAGAAATAAACGGTGTCGTTGTCACAAGAATATACCACATAAAATAAAAGAATATGTCAAAGCAAAAACAGAAAGTGATCACGTATAAGTAAGCCTTGTGCTACGCTGCCTCTATTTCATTATTCACAACCATCATTCATCTTTCTCTCTCGCTNGGTGGGATGATAGAGAAGTAGATGCGAAAAACAAGAAGTCAAAGAGAGAAATAAACGGTGTCGTTGTCACAAGAATATACCACATAAAATAAAAGAATATGTCAAAGCAAAAACAGAAAGTGATCACGTATAAGTAAGCCTTGTGCTACGCTGCCTCTATTTCATTATTCACAACCATCATTCATCTTTCTCTCTCGCTCTGTCTCTACAGTTTCTTGAAAACACCAACAAAAAGTCTCTTCTCTTTCTCTGAGACAACCATTCAAGTGTTTGTCTGCGAGAAAGTAATTAAGCGCAGAAGAATAATACTCTTCATGTAAGTTTCTTCTTCATTAGTTTTGTGTGTTTGTGAATCTATTTTTTTTTTTATTGTTTAGATAAGAAATGAGGATCAAGCAGGCCTTTGGTTATTGTTTTCTTTTTTTCCTATTTCTCTTCTCAATCTCTGTTGTGTCTCGTAATGTTTTCAGTTCTACATGTTAACCTTTATAATCCATGCATTTTAAATGGCTATAGTCTTTGTTATAGAACTCAATACTAAAAGATGAACCCTGCTTAGCAATGTTAAATATATGTACCTATCATCTACCAAAGAAGCGTGAGTGAATTATTAGAGAATCCTTTTTTATGTAGGATTACCTATTTAGATAAATGTTAGGTTTTTTTTTTTTTTTGTGATCAACAGATAAATGTTAGTCTAATGAGATAATGATAACATTAGCTAAGATAAGCCTAAAATCTAATGTGATTACGTCGGCTAATCTTGTTGTATATAGATGGTTGTAACTTGTAAGGTTCATTCATCAATAATAAAAAGTTTACATTCATTATCAAAGTCTATCAATACTGAACGTGTTTTCTTACTGTATAAACGCAGAGGAAAACATAAAAGAGAGAGCAATGGCAGGAGATCAACTCAACGTACTAAACGCACTAGACGTTGCCAAAACGCAATGGTACCACTTCACAGCGATTATCGTCGCAGGAATGGGATTCTTCACCGACGCATACGACCTTTTCTGCATCTCCCTCGTCACTAAGCTTCTTGGCCGCATTTACTACCACGTGGACGGCGCAGCGAAGCCAGGAAACCTACCTCCAAACGTCTCAGCCGCGGTTAACGGCGTTGCGTTTGTTGGTACACTCACGGGCCAGCTTTTCTTCGGGTGGTTAGGTGATAAACTCGGGAGGAAAAAAGTTTACGGCATGACTCTAATGGTTATGGTCATCTGCTCAATAGCTTCAGGTCAGTGCGTGGCTCGAATCCACTCTAATTTTTTTTTTTAATATATAGTTAAATTTAAATCATATTATAATTATAAAATATGCTACTATAAAATTTCAAATAATAACAAATAAAATAGCTAATTTAAAATGATTTTAACATCTACTTTTAAATATATTTATTATAGGAATTAAATTATTTTTATGCCCACTAATTGTATTGTACTGGTCATGTTTCAGGTCTCTCCTTTGGTAACAAACCTAAATCCGTGATGACCACGCTATGTTTCTTCCGGTTCTGGCTAGGGTTTGGTATAGGCGGTGACTATCCTTTATCCGCAACGATCATGTCTGAATACGCTAATAAAAAGACACGTGGTGCGTTTATAGCCGCGGTTTTCGCCATGCAAGGGTTTGGTATCTTGACGGGAGGAATCTTTGCGATCATTATCGCTGCGATTTTCGAGGCTAAGTTTCCTGCTCCGGCCTATCAAGTCGATGCCTTGGCGTCCACGGTACCTCAGGCGGATTACGTGTGGAGGATTATTCTAATGGTTGGTGCTTTGCCTGCCGCTATGACGTATTACTCGAGGTCTAAGATGCCTGAGACGGCACGGTACACGGCTCTTGTGGCTAAGGACGCGAAGCTAGCGGCTTCGAACATGTCTAAGGTTTTGCAAGTGGAGATAGAAGCAGAGCATCAAAGAGTAGAAGAGATCTCTAGAGACCAGTCTAGACAGTTTGGCTTGTTCTCCAAGGAATTCATGAAACGTCATGGTCTTCACTTGCTTGGAACCACGAGCACATGGTTCTTACTTGACATTGCATTCTATAGTCAGAACTTGTTCCAGAAAGATATCTTCAGCGCTATTGGGTGGATCCCTCCGGCTCAAACCATGAATGCAATTCAAGAAGTTTTTAAAATCGCGCGTGCTCAAACCCTAATCGCCTTGTGCAGCACGGTACCTGGTTACTGGTTCACTGTGGCTTTTATTGACGTCATTGGTAGGTTTGCGATACAGATGATGGGTTTCTTCTTCATGACTGTGTTCATGTTCGCTCTCGCTATTCCTTATGACCATTGGACTCATAAGGATAACAGAATAGGGTTTGTGGTTATGTACTCGTTAACATTCTTCTTTGCAAACTTTGGACCTAATGCCACGACGTTCGTGGTGCCTGCTGAGATCTTCCCGGCTAGGTTTAGATCAACCTGCCATGGAATTTCAGCTGCTTCTGGAAAGTTGGGAGCAATGGTTGGTGCGTTTGGGTTCTTGTACTTAGCACAGAGTCCTGACAAGAACAAGACAGAACATGGATACCCTCCAGGGATAGGTGTTAAGAACTCGCTTCTTGTTTTGGGATTTGTTAATCTTTTGGGGATGGTGTTTACGTTGTTGGTACCTGAGTCTAGAGGCAAGTCTCTTGAGGAAATGTCTGGTGAGCATGAGAACAATGATAAGAGCAGCAGCAGCAACAACCAAAACAGCACGGTGTCAGCTGCATAGAGATTTTAAAAATACTTGTGTTATTTATTACTTGTATCTTGTTTACTTTATCTCTCTCTCTCTCTACAGATTTCTTATTACTAGCAGCTTAAGATGTTGTTATTTATGTCCACTTATTTATTTATCGTTAAATGCAATAGGATCTGATTCTTTTACATGTCTGTTTTGGTTGTTTTTAAGGTTCTTAGAACAATCTTTTTGTTCATTCATTGTAACAAATGAAAATGGAGGCAATGGAAAGTTTTTATGATGAAACTGTGTTCTTAGGTGTTCATTGTCACCATTGAACTAAAGAATAAATGTTAGTTCGGAATGAAGTGATAGAAAGATAACTCTATTAGAGATGTACATGAGATTGAAAGAGGGAATGAAATAGCATTGCTACAAAGTGGCTCTATCTCTGTATAAATGGGGCAAAACCAAAACTGACCTGTCTTTGTTTCTTAAGCCGTCTCTGTTCAATCTACAACCACAGTAGAGATCATTCACGGTCCTATCTGCAGGCACTCTAGTAAAGATGTTAAATTTGTTAAGACATCAATGAAATCAAGAGTAGAAACGAGAGCTTTGTTAAATAAAATACATGTAAGAAAGGACATTGATATTGGTCTGGGACTCTATACATATCTTTTTGAGTGGTAAAGAAAGTATATACATGGAGGAATACTAGACACAATATAATTCACTAGATGTGAATATCATCAACAATACAAATCAATATTTTGAACCTGAGATAAAAGAATCAACTTATGTGCATAAACTCTGACTGATATAGAGGCAGCTTCATCTGTGTTCAGAGACCAGCTGAAACCAAACCATGCAACGTTACAATTCCAATCAAGGTGTTGTCTTCATTGACCACCGGTAGAAACTGTACAGGCGATGGTGGTGACTCCATTTTCTTCATAGCTTCAACTGCCATTGTTTCCGGTCCAATTGTCCTCGGCTTCCTGTTTCCAAAACAATAGGTTCAACATACACACACCAATCTTTATATGATCTAAAGCAGAGCATACATCAATGTTTATACGATCCAGAGCAGGTTATTTAGATAATCTAAAGCAGAGAGCATACACCAATGCTTATAGGATCTAAAGCAGACCTTTTTTACGATCTAAAGCAGAGCATACACAAATCTCTATACAATCTAAAGCAGAGCATACACCAAGGTTTATAGGATCTAAAGCAGAGTACTTATACAATCTAAAGCAGAGTATACACCAATGTTTATAGGATATTTAGGATCTAAAGACTAAAGCATACAACAACGTTCATAGGATCTAAAGCAGATCATACACCAATATTTACAGGATCTAAAGCAGAGCATACACCAATCTTTATACGATCCAAAAGCAGAGCATACACCAATCTTTATCTGATCTAAAACAGAGCACACACCAATCTTGATACGATCTTAAGCAGAGCACACACCCATCATTATACGATCTAAAAGCAGAGCATACACACCAATTAACTCTCACCTGTTGCACATTTCTCCAACACTGAGTTTGAAGATACCTTCCCCACTCGCTTTAAGAGTCCGACGAAGATCACCATCCGTAAACGTACCAATCAAACGATGTCCTTCATCAACCACAAGCAAACACCCACACCCTTTGCTAGTCAGCTCCACCAACTGATCCATAATCAAGTCTCCTTCTTTACAAACCGGAAGCTCATCTTTCTTCTTCATCACATCCTTAACCTACACAACAAATATCCAAATCACACATACATTCAGAATCAAATCTAGAACCTTATAAAGTTCTCAACTTTATGATCAAACTCTAAAACCTTATAACGTTCTCAACTTTATGATCAAACCTTAAAAATCAAACTCTAAAACCTTATAAAGTTCTCAACTTTATGACCAAACCTTAAAACTCAAACTCTAAAAACCTTATAAAGCTCTCAACATTCAGACCAAACCTTAAAAATTCAAACTCTAAAACCTTATAAAGTTCTCAACTTTGAGAGACCAAACCTTAAAATCAAACTCTTCCCAATCCTTCCCGCAGGATGATTAGCTCCATACTCCTCCTTAGTCAAATTCCTCGCCGCCATCAACGCAACGGCGATCGTATCCCCAAACACCATCTGAATCGCCGTGGAAGTCACCGGAGCGAGATCAAACGGACACAACTCCCTCTCCAACGGCAAATGCACGTTCATATCGCAAAGTCCGGCGAGAGGGTTCCCGGGAACGGAGGTGAGAGAGACGAGGAAGACACCTCTGGCTTTTGCGCAGGGGACGAGGCGGAGAAGCTCCTTGGTGGCGCCGGATTTGCTGAAGAGGACGAGGACGTCGGAGGAGGAGAGGGAGGCGATGTCGCCGTGGAGGGCGTCGAGAGGGGAGAGGAAGGAGGAGGGGAAGCTGAGGGAGATTAGGGTTTGGGAGATTTTTTGGGCGACGAAGGCGGATTTGCCGACGCCGGTGAAGAAGACGGTGCCGGAGGTGGAGAGGAGGAGGCGGGAGAAGGAGAGGATTTGGGAGAGGGAGAGGTGTTTGAAGAAGTGGTTGAGGAGGTCTTGTTGGGATTTGAAGAGGGTTTCCAGGTTTTCTTTGGTGATGTCGAGGTGTGACGGTGGCAGAGATCCCATTGTTGATCTGAGAAAGCGGTTTCTTGATTTGCTATAGAGGAAAAACAGAGTGTGTTTTAATGGAGGAGACGGGGTAAATTGGTAAATGACTACTTTGTTTTGTTTTTGGGGTGATTGATTGAGTGAGCCTATTAATTAGAGTGTGTATTAATGGATACGGAGGGGTAAATCAGGACTTTGGTTGATAAGGATATTCATTTTGATTAGTTTGTCAATAAACAATTAGAAACGCAATTTAAAAAAGGATTTCGACCAAAAAAAACATAAACTTTGCACAAATTGCTAAAAAAATCTAAATATATTGGCTGGCCAAAAGAAACCCTGTTAACAGATAATTTAAACGTCGTTAAGTCGACGTTAATCTTGAACCCATGAAGTCGTAGTTAATAGGAGGGGGTTTACCACTTAGATAATGGACTTTACAATGTATTGACAAACATAATTCCTTTAACGTATAATATCCTAAGTTCTTAATAAAACATATACTTTTATTTGGTACTAATTAAATATAATTTTTTTTTGTAAAAACTTAAAAATATTTTTAAATTTCAAAAAATTGAAAATAAAGATTTTTATGATAAATTTAATTTTGAAACTAAAATTAAAATAAAATTTTATTTTTCTTCAAAAATATCAAAAATCAAAAATCTTGCAAAAAAATCATTTTTTTTTAATTCCAAAAAGTTTAAAAATTCAAAGTTTTCATTTAAAAAAAACGATTGCTAAAAAATTGAAATTAATTATACACACATAAAATATATCTACAAATTATAAATTAAAATTCTTAAAATAAATATTGTTTTAATTTTTAGTTGATACTTGTAACTTTTTTTTTGTATTTTCTTTGAATTTTTATTTTTAGAATTTAAAAACAAAAACTGAAAATTTTGGAAGTTTTTTTATTTTAAGAAAAAATAAAATTTTATTTTGAATTTTAACTTCAAAATTAATTTATAAAATAATTTCTTTATTTTTCATTTTTTTACAATTTTAAAGATCTTTTTAGAGAGTTTTTATATTCAATCACTACTAAATAAAACTAAATGTGTTAGTAAATCCCTTGAAAGCGCCTCTAGCCCAGTGGCAAAATACTTAGCCATTTGATTCAACCTACCTGAGTTCGATTTAACACGGTTATAACTGCTTGTTAACGGTGTGTTAAAATGGCGAGTCAATCGTAAGTTTCTTGATAAATTAACAAAGTTAACAAAAGTATAGGTTTCTTTTGGCCAGGCTTGAGTACATGTTTCTTTTGACAATTCGTGTAAAGTTTGTGTTTTTTTTTGCTGAATTCTCGGTTTAAAAATGATTTGGTTATATGCATATTATGTATAGTTAATGTGGTGATGTCTGTTATGTTTGCTAAGTTTCTTAAGATGGGGGCTATTAGGAGGAGAATGGCGAAGCCAACAATATATTTACGTTTCCTTACTATTTTGATTAATTTGTTCTTTTTGTTTAACCAAATGCATTTCAATTTAGTCATTTTTATATAACTAGTTTTGTCTAAGAAATAAATAATAGATTATTCTAAAAATGCATGTGAAATTGTTAAAGATAGAAGTGAAGAATACTAGAAATTCAATGACCTGAAATTTCTCCTGAAATTTCTCTCATTTTCCCCTTATTTCAGTATATTTATAGAAACCATTGGTTAAACAAGAAAAAGGTGGATTAGCATGATTGATTTTAAAGAAGGTGGTTGATCCAATTTTATAAGTCAGCACATACGCATATATATATATAGTCCATATAATTTTTAAGATCTATAAATTTTACACAAATTTAAATGCCAATAAACTCCTCCCCCAAAATAGATTTTGAAAATTTTGATTGTGATCTTGTTGGGAATTTAGTGAGAATGTTTAGGATATTAAAACATTAAAACCTATTGAAAAAATAGAAGTAATATATAATATTTATTGTGTAAATTTTTAAAACACCATAAAACAATTTCTTATAGCCAAAATAGCCCGAGAATCAAAATAAATTTCATTAGAAGACGAAAAAATCTAAATTACTTTAATAAATAATAAATTTAATTCAATAAATTTTTTTAAATTTTTTTTTATGAAAATATTTTTTTAGCTTTTATTTATACTCTAAATATTATTTAGAATAATTATATATTAATTAATCCAAAGACATATGTGTAATTCTTTAAGATAAAAATGGACATTTTACTTTTTGAAAGTTATTTTGTGATAAAATATTAGAATTTATGCAACATGCACATTACTTTTCTTGTGGAGATGAAGAAATTTTAATTTTGGAATTATTACTCCCTCTGTTTCAGTTTAATTGTCATTCTAGGTTTTTACACAAAGATTAAGAAAACATTTAATTTTACATATTTTCAATATAAAAACACAATTACCAATACACCTAACCACTTTTTAACCAATAGAAAAATAGATTATCATATAAACCTAATAAATTTTGTCTCGGAACTCTAAAATGACACTTATTTTGAAACAATTTTTTTTTCTACAATGACATCTGATTCGAAACGGAGGGAGTATTAACTATAATTGTGGTCAATGACTACTCGTAATTAATCAATTGTTTGAGGTTTAACACATGGTGAATTTGGTAACATTTCATATGTTTTATTAAAGATTGACTAAAATATCGACCACATGATTAGACTTTAAAATCTAATCTATTAAAATAGAAGTATAAATATAAATTATCTCTTAAATTTGCAAGTTATTTACACGCTAATGTCATTGATGTATTAACTTAACCTATAATTAAGTACCATCCCTTATATATTAATTGAGAATCATTTAAAAAGTTGTAACCTTAAGTTTGTAATAATTAAAAATAACCCCAATCCTATGTGGCATAGCTCTTTGGCTTTTATTTCAAATTCCAAGGATTCTAGAGCATGTGATATAATGTATAGTTTAAAATTTATACTCTCTAGCAATATAATATTTCGTAGGTTATAGTTGATCACATATATCAAATATTTATTATTTCGCATGCTTTCCTTAAATAAAACCTATGGAATTACCTAATGTGATTAAAACATATATATGACAATTAATGATTTTAAACAATAAAGATTTGATAACAATTTATATACTTTTTCTTATTTTGTTTATTTCTTTATTATTAAAATAAATTACACAATTACACTAATCATATAACAAAAATCTAGATTTTTTTTTTGTGTATGTTGTATTTCGAATTTTTTAAAATGAGTATAAATTACTAAAACTGTTAAAAGTCTCACATAAAATTTTAGGATCAAGGTTTTAATTTTTTTCTTTATTAAAATATAATGATTATAAGACCATATGAAGAAATAATTTTAATTTATATATACTTCATATCGTTTTAATTAAACTATACATCGTATGAAAATACATACTTATATTTTGATATTTGCATTGAACATATATTGAAAATTTAATATTTTAATTTTAAAATATGTAAATTTTTTTTAAAAATGATTATAAATTATTGAAACTACAAAACATCTCAAATTAAAATAAAATTCTTTAATGTAAAGTTTTGTTACACAAATATGCAAATAATCATAAAATCATATGAGTAAAAACCTCATTTAATAAATATTCATATTAAAAGTGTGCTATATTAATATGTTTATATCATTTAAATTTAATTATATATCATATACAATATATAAGATTGATTATTTTGATTTATTTACCCTAATTGCGAATAAACAAGAGTGATAGTTAAATTTATATGCATACGCCATTTTATTACATAATAGTAACTGATTTCGTAGTTATTTAATATATACATTTATTATTTTATTATTTTATAATATGCAGAAAAATATAAAATAAATATAAATATTTATTGTGCATAAAGTGCAGATCTTAACCTAAGTATGTATCTCTTTAATTATTTTAAATCTTAAGTATTTTCTAAATCCCAGGTCAAAACAAACAAATGAAATGAGAACAAACTTCAAAATAAATAACCAAAAAAAGAAAAAAAAAGACAACAAAAGAAAAAAACTGAAGATAAATAGGATTGACACGTGAACGTAAAATTTTCTCAATACCATAATTAGTTTTAAAATTTTTAAATCATAATATAAAACTGAGTTAATGTTTAATTTGTTAATTTGTTAATTTTTTTTATTTTTTAAAATTATTATGGTTATGTTAAATCATTACCATAACTAATTTTAAATTGTTTATTTGTATTTGAAAAACTTAAAATATTGTTTTTAAAAATAATTTAAAATTTAACTTAATTTTTTATAAAATTATTTTTTTAAATTGTAAAAAATATAATTTTCTCATATTATTACACAAATAAATAAATTATATTAAATTAGTTTTGAAACTTATATATTTTAACTGCAAATATTTTACCAACTGCTTCTTAAGAAAGCATTTGAGAACTTGCTAATACTCTACCAATCAAGCCCAGTGACAGTCCGTTTATTTTCCATCGCTCGAACACTGAAAAATGAAAAGATAGAAGAAGTCGGGTCCATTAAATTCTAAGCTTTGATTTAGAGTTCTAATTACAATTGTTTCTGATCCTATGTATAGATAATTATATAAAAACCAAAATTTTAAAATGTCAAATACATATAAAAACAATAATATGTAAATTTTAAATTTGTCAATACTAAAATTTTATATTTTAATTACATATATTCACCCTGCGCAAGGCGCAGGTCTTATCCTAGTATAATATTGTTGAACAATCGCTGAACGAAGATACTGAGGTTTTAAAATATAACTGGAATATTTGGGCATTCAATGATCGAAATTAGAATTGAGTTATTTAAGTATAATAAAAATTAAAGAGTAAGATAATAATTTGTGTTTTTTTTAAATGAAAATTTTATCTTTTTGTTACAAACAAATAAATATTTTATATTAAACATTTTAGAAGTTTATTTTAGGAATGTTCTGATATTTTATTCAATTATCAACCTGATATGATAATTTGTTAATTATTTTAATTTTTATTTATTTATATTTTTAAATTTAATTTAGTATGATTCAAAAATATAAATGTCAACTCTATAGTTGTGATTATCTTTATCCATATTTAAATTGGCATATTCATATTTTTAATAAAATCGAATAAAATATTAAACAAACTTGATTTAAATTATTCATTTATCTTTGTTTGTATTTTTAATTAGATACCATCTATAATTCAACTGAAAATATTTAGTTAATAAAAATATAAATGAATATATAGTATTTTTACACTAAGTTAGTCGATGATGTATTTTTCAATGTTATACATGTGCATTTTCACCAAATTAATATAACTTATATCAATAAATCTGAGATCCTTACTATTTATTTTCATGGAACAAACCTAAATTTTTTAATATATATCAATAAATAATCTGTTTTCTTAAGTATACTCTAAATATATGCTCTAAAGACATCATTGCTGTTGATTTCTTGTAACCTAGAACCGCCATTACTACGGTCACTGGATTTTTTCTCCCTTCTCCATGTACTCAAATCCTTTTTTGGGGCTCATTTAATAATAAACATTTTAATCAAGAAAAAACAAGTTACATGTGGCAAAGAAAAAAAAAAGACATCAGTATTACTTTAGAAACTAAAAACCACATCATTAAAATAAAAAAGATATGTAATGGCATAAAGCATATGTCTCTATATATATATATATATATATATATATAGACTACTAAGACTTGTGGTTAGTCTTTTGCTAACACCAACATAGATAATGCCTAACCAAATCAACACATTTTTAAAATAAAACCATTCCACAATTTAGCTACTAGAATCATGCTATTGTAAACAGTTTTATAACTAAGATCTACGATCCGATATTAGAGAAACATAGAAAAACCCATAAATAAAACAACAATTACAACCCTTAAAGTCAGATCAATAAAGAACAATTGTAAAAACTGGACAATCTCATCTCCTTTATTTCATAACTAGGTGATTTTCCTGTGCTCATGCACGGACATAAATATTTAAAATAAATATATTATAATAATTAATTGATATTTACTTCAAATTTCAAATTAATTTATAATTTGTAGATATAATTTATATTAATAATGTTATATTAATTTAATTATATATAATTTTAGATATGTTATATTTCGTCAGTTTTATTGTTTTTACGGTTGATTTAGTTATCATTGAGATATATTAGATTCTATCTATTTCTTGGAATTCAACTATAATTTTTTTTATTCTAAATATATTAAATTTTTGATTAATTGTCTTATTTGCATTTATGTCGGTTGTTATCTTAGAAATATAAGTATATCCTGATTCTAAATTACATACTTAAGTAACTAATAACTTTTTGCAAGCTAATGAACACATATCAATATTTACAATATTTAGACTGATTAAATGATTAAATAAACTGAAATTTATTTTAAATAATTTTAAAAATAAGGATTCTGATTTATTTAAGTATTTTGATTATGGTTATATTAAGTTCCACAAACATAAAAACAGAAAATTAAAAATCAAAAGAGTTATTAAGAAAACATATAATTTTAACTATTAAAATATAATATATCTACTTCGATAAATTATATAATGTTATGATATTTTAAGATAATTGTAGTTATTTGATGAAAAAATGTTTATTATTAAAATTCATT